TGTAGCTATCCGATTTCCAAACAAACTGAGCATGCCTTCGCCTCCAAGGCTTGGTTCTGTATTCCACTTTCCCCTTTTTCGGTGATCAAAACTGTAGCAGCTGAAACCAATGTGTCTATGGCACACGGTTTATAGCTGATAAATTGAATTGAATTGGAGTATGCGGACGACGTTTTTTGAGTCCTTGAAGACGTGGGTAAATTGCAAGCCCTTTCGAATAAACTGACTTATCATTCTATCTTTCGGCATGCGCCTTGCACCCTCACTGTGCAAAGTCATGCTTCAGAACGCTAATTCTGAGCATGCCCCTTGCAATTCAGGGAGAAACACTGGATGCCGTGCAGAATTTGACACACATCGTTGGTTGTATTAGCTCTGACAGAAGTTTGGCTGATGAAATCAGTAAACCGATTCCAAAAAATCGAATAACTTTAGCCAGTGTGAGTCATTTGTGGCGTCAAAAAGTCATATCGCCGGGTTTCGGTTGTCGTGTGTACCAGGCTAATTTAAGGCCTGTATTGTTATATGGTTGCGAGACATAGCCTCTGCAGACAGATAATGTGGAGCTTTGCTGGTTTCGGATGACCTCAACGAATTCGTAACGAGGTAATTATAAAACGGAAATTTGGCTTTTTAGCAAGTACTTTAGTCATTCCACAACATCAACTAAGGTGCATCTGTGCTACGCATGCTGAAACGTCGTCCACCAAGAAAAGTATTTTCCTCCGTTCCTTTTTCAGAGTGGCATAGACTGGGAGTTGGACGATGTGTGACTTGGTGGAAATATTTGAAAGAGACTACGAAGAGTTTAGGTATTGTTGATGTTGTCCGCTTCGCATGATTGGGTCATCGTGGTTGGAGACACTCCAGGAACTGGCGGCTGATTGATTTCAATGGTCTTCGTGCTGTTAGTTTTCTTCCTTACTGACTGAGCACCCCCAGAATGCTTGTGATAGGCAGAGAAACGGGGTGCCAGCGCTCAAAATTTTCTTTCGAGTTACCCGAGTCTGTCATCATTCTCTGGCAGATGGATATCGCCGTCAATACTTGTGCAAAGTTAAGGGCTGTCGGTGAGAAAGTATCGATCTGAAAAGAAAGTGCTATTTATAGGGTGATTCGTGTACTAACTGCGTGCGACACTTCTGTCAGTGCTAGTACAACTACGGAAGTATGTAAAATCCTCCAAAAGCTGCAGTGGTTCTCCCTATTTGTAAGGGCTCTGTTCAGAAACCGCACGTCCTGAAGCGTGACTTTGCACTTCATAAACTTCTGGGCACACCCTGCTGAGCATGTGTAGCTAACAGGATTGACCGGTTGGTAGAATCCAACGTACCCTTCAAATCAAGGGACACCAAGATTGTGGGTCGTGTGGACACATGACGTTGCTCTATCACCCAGCGGAGTGTGAAGACGTAGTCGACGCAGCTTCCACCCGGTCAGAATCGCGCTATCGCGCTTGTTGCTCACGGTCAAAGATTCGCGTGACGCTGTTATACGCCGAAGAATCAGTGACGCTGGAAGCGTGGTTACTAAGGGAGTCGAGCCAACACATCCGTGATTACGACGTTCACTTCGAGTACCCTTCTTGAAAATGGACACTTATCAATTCACCTCAGTTATTTGAAACCGTCGCTTTCTATCAGACAAACATAGATAGGCAAGACAGATACTGACTGAGGAATTCGTCGCTATCTTTGAACAGAACAGGTGACCGTCAGGTCTATCACCCAGCGGAGTGTGAAGACGTAGTCGACGCAGCTTCCACCCGGTCAGAATCGCGCTATCGCGCTTGTTGCTCACGGTCAAAGATTCGCGTGACGCTGTTATACGCCGAAGAATCAGTGACGCTGGAAGCGTGGTTACTAAGGGAGTCGAGCCAACACATCCGTGATTACGACGTTCACTTCGAGTACCCTTCTTGAAAATGGACACTTATCAATTCACCTCAGTTATTTGAAACCGTCGCTTTCTATCAGACAAACATAGATAGGCAAGACAGATACTGACTGAGGAATTCGTCGCTATCTTTGAACAGAACAGGTAGATGACCGTCAGGACCAGCAGCACGATGACGCTTGAGTAGAGATATACACTCGGACAATTTTGAGGCTGAGGGGGGTTCCATGCTCACACTCCACATTTCTACTGAAGTTCGGCAGTCTGAATTGGAGGTAGTTGGTGGCCAACTGAATTGCTGTTCGACGTACTATATCCCTGTGTGCCCAGCGGTCCAAAGATTCTCCTTTGCTGGATATCAAAGAGTCATTTTGGTCTCTGATGCTTTCGCTAACCAGTCGAAGAAATCAAGGAGGCGAGATGGACCAAGTGGTTGGAGCGCGAATTTACTGACCGGAAGGTCCGTGGTTCGAACCCGAATTCCGCCTCTCGACTTCCCCTGTCTAGGCTTGAGCAGCCTGGCGGTATCCCAGCCCTCGTGCTTCCTTCATGTGACATGGCATCTAGGCACCGAAAGGGCGCTAAAGCTGAACGATTTTTATTTTTTCGAACAAATCAAGTGTAACAGTTTGCAGACGTTTCCAGCACTTTTCTCCTTCCATTTATGCTTTTTGGTGCGGGATGGCTCCGTGGTAAGAGCGCGAATTAATTGACCGATAGGTCCGTATTTCGAACCCGATTTCTGCTTCTCGACTTCCCCTGTGTAGGCTGGGGCAACCTGGCGGTATCCCAGTCTTCGTGATTCCTTCTGGCGGCTTGACAGCACCCAAAGAGTGTTACAGCTGTACGATTTATGCCTTCTTGTCCACGATGCTCAATCTTCGCGCAAATTCAGTTTAACCTTGCGTCATATGATGAGGCACGTGCAGTTGTGGTTGCGGCAAGGGGGACTCTATCGACGCGCCTCCAGCAAAAACGTGGTTCTCTCAGACGTTTAATGTTTGGATAAGGTTGGCTGGGTTTTAATGCAGACAGATATTCCGGCTTTCAGTGGCACTGTGGATATCTGTTCCCAGTGCTTGTTTGGCAGGTGTTTTAGGTGTCGGTTCTGAGAGCTTCGTTTCCTTTCTGGCTCCATTACCTTCTCAGTAGCTAATCAAGGTATGCGCACTATTGCATAGACCAGAAAAGTACAATGAAATTCAGCAGCACACAAGTGTCTGGTCGGAGTCCACGCTGATGTTCTAAAAGAAGCGGCAGGCACTGATCGACCCTCCGCCGATGACTGACGGTGATGTGGTTTATTTGGATTTGGGTCTGGCTCGTTGGTGGGCATAACGTCGTTAAACGATTTCAACTGTTCTGTAAATTGGTACTGCAAACAACAGTTTGTGATCAGCACACATCCGGAGCAGACGATCTCCTTTTTCCGTGCTTCTCGCATACAACCCAAGGCGACCATCCAAGTGGACTTCAGGAGCGCCTATTTTACCTACGTGAACCTTCATATCACCAACAACCACATCGAGCTTTTAACCCGTTGTAAAAAAGCATCTAGAGCGTCATAGAAGCTGTCTTTGGCAGATTCACAGCTACAGTCAGTTGGGGCCAAAGCAGACACAATAAGCACAGTGCGATAGACCTCACTCTCCTTAGGTTTGCTCACAGACACTGCAAAACGAACATCAAATCAAATAAAGACTTCCATTCGGTCACTCAGTATAATACCCACTCGAGTATATCTGGCAGCGGCGGCCTCCACATCACCAGAGATGCGCATCCGGGATTCGGAGGCGAGCGAGAAGGCTGTGAGTTCAGTCCAATACTTTCGTCCTGGATCCTTATTTTTGACAGCAGCATACGTCAACGCAGGAGTAATCCAGCGTACGAGCGAGCGACCCTAGTTGTCTTGCTTGATTCAAGGTGTGAACATTCGGGGTTTGAAAACAGGCCTTGAAGTGTTTAAGGTTGTTACTAAAGTCGGACGTACAATGCGGCTGACACTCAGTATAATACCCACTCGAGTATATCTGGCAGCGGCGGCCTCCACATCACCAGAGATGCGCATCCGGGATTCGGAGGCGAGCGAGAAGGCTGTGAGTTCAGTCCAATACTTTCGTCCTGGATCCTTATTTTTGACAGCAGCATACGTCAACGCAGGAGTAATCCAGCGTACGAGCGAGCGACCCTAGTTGTCTTGCTTGATTCAAGGTGTGAACATTCGGGGTTTGAAAACAGGCCTTGAAGTGTTTAAGGTTGTTACTAAAGTCGGACGTACAGAAGATGCGGCTGAGTCTGATGCATGGTGAGCAAAGCGGTCAGTTTTAGTGCTGGAACCTGTGGGGGTGTTTTCAAATGGGGGTGGGGTAGGGTAGGATAGGTAATATGTGAAAGTGTAAGAAGAGAGGCGTCAGCAACAGCATGTCTTGGCTGTTGCAGGATAAGGCGACCGAGCTGATAATGCCACGCGATGGCCGATATGGCATTAAAGTATTTTTACAGTTGAAATTGTCATATTTGGGCTGATATACTGCCAGGGCACCCGCACCTAGACAGGAGGACGATGGGTTCTTGACCAACGGGTCACGGAGGCACACAAACCGTCACACCATGGTACGGTCCAATCTCTCTGTGACGGGGTCGGCTCTTTGTGATCCTCCTTGTGTTTGACTGGAAGCACTGAACGATGTGACGACTAAACGATGTCAACGGGGCTTAAGTCATCAGTTCTGTCCAGCTTTTCCGACTGGGTTTTGAAGGTGTAGGCGAGCCCTTCGTCCATGTCCCACATATTCTACTTCCGATTAAAAGACTGTTTAGGTATGTTGATATGGTTGTGTGGCAGTGAAGTACCCTGTACACCCCTCGCATTTCTGTCAGTGGAGATAATGATGACGTTAAACACTGTACAACAGAATTCAGGCCATAGTTTTCAGAGCTGCGCGATAATTGGGAGGGAATGAAATTTGCGGCGGTCCGCGCAACTTGACTTGGAGGGAAAGCATTGAGCTGGGAAACATATTCTCTTCACAGTTACGCGGCCATTGTTTTAGTCATATAATAATACGCTAATCATTACGTTGACGTAGTAGTGGCCGTTCGGTAAGTGTCAGCACATATGGGTCCCCGAATAGCTTTCGGAAGCATTGACTTACTCTGTCTATTCGGTTCTTTCCAGGATGCCTCTTCGAAAACGAATTTCAGACACTCCTGTTCGGACTTCTGGTGCTACAGTTTGGCCCTACTGTCCAGGGTTTGATGGACCACCACCTTGCGTCGAAGGAGAGGAGACGATTGTTCCTACCATTGCCCAATCCACTTCACTACCGTTACCCGTCTCGTCTAGTGCCCGAGTCCCTCATAACCGGATACCTACAGCTGACGGAGTATCAGTAGGAGCTTACTCCACGGAAACACCGAGGTCCAACAGTTCTCTATGCACTCTCTTGTCCCATCGTTTCGAGACCGGCATGCTAAAACTGTCCGATTGTTGTTGCAACGGTTTGTTTCGTCGAAGTCAATCCAATTCTTTGCATGAATCTCAGGACAGACTTCTTCCTCCCCTCGAACCGGATGAGTATTGCCAACCAGAAGACCCTGAACAGTTCAACACACAAGTGGTTGATTGGATGAGACGACGACTGATCTATTTTTTCATGTCACCGCGAGAGAAGTTCTATGCGAAGCAGCGCATTCCATACAAACTGTTTGTACAGTTGCTGAAGGTGGTTCTAATCACATTGCAGGTAAGTTTCATCAAACCATGAGTGTTTTGAGACCGTATAGTTTCTCAGTGTTGATCATTTAGCTGTGGAACTGCTCGCCGAACCTAGCAATTGGCTTAAAAACTTCGTTACCCATCGAATGGATTTCCTCAGTGTGCGGCAAGGATGATGGGACGTACACTAATGATGTTTACTCGATTGGTGAAGAAACGTTTGTAAGCGACAGATCCACCACCACCCGGTGCAGCCGAACTGTCGATATTTCAGCCTTACAATTCGCCAAATCTTTAATGCCCTGTTTATGGAGTTGTCAGTCTCGTATGCATCTAGAAAACGATGTGGCATCTGTTTGCGTGTGATTTTGTCGACTGATGCGGTCAGCGTCAAGTATAGACTTGGCCATTTTTGTGTTTGCACCGGCGAATCTTTTGCTACTCTGTTCGATTAACGCGAGTCATCGAAACCAGCCAATTTCGCACATTTCACTCCCTTAAAGGCACAGTTTTTTCACATATCTAGTAGGTAAAAGGAACAAATGACTGCGGTTTCAGACGTACAAGTAGGCGCTTGTCCACGCGGATTCTGGTATACGCCCAATCTTCTGTACACAGGGCACGGTTTGATCCGTCAATCATCCCACTCCTGGGCATCTGGTCCGTTGGCGATCGACTGCAACGAAGTCCGTTTTACTCAGTGAGCAAGCCTTACTCTAGAAGACTCAGTGGAGGGATGTTATCAACAACCGAAGCCATTGCAGTGGGAGGTGGGCAGATAAATACAGCCAATTCAACCGCTTATTGTCTAGGTCGTAGTAGGAAATACAGACAAGACTTGTCCGGTCTGATGGCTAGTTAAGGTGTCTAACTATTGGTAGCTCGGCTGATTTAATTGGCCGTTGATCACATGACAGTTGATCTGTTTGCCGGACTTTGCAATGGGCGAGATGGCCCAAGTGGTTAGGGCGCAAATCTACTGACCGGAAGGTCTGTGGTTCGAACCCGACCTCTGCCTCTCGACTTCCCCTGTCTGGGCTTGGGCAGCCTGACAGTATCCCAGCCCTCGTGCCTCCTATGGCTGGCATGGCAGTTAGGCGCTGAAAGGGTGCTATAGTTGAAGTTTGCAATTGACTTGCAATAATTTCGTCACCCCCACGTGCTGACATCGTCAGTGCGCGGTTCGGTGGATAATTCCTCCACTTATGCTTGATTTTGTTTGGTTTCCAAAGCATAGTTAGTATCTGCAAAGTGACTGGCTTTTGACGATTGTCCGGCACTTAATTTGGTTGGTCAACGCCAAGTCCGAAATGACCATTCAAAGTAAGTGCTGGCCACTTTCCGGATATTAACCACTCTTTGGAGACTACCTAATCCCAAGCAGAAGTGGAGGGATCACCCACCCAAACATACACTGATGTCTCTCTGATTGGTGACGAAACGTTTGCAAGCCGATTGCCAAGCTGGTCGAACAGACCAACTGCCACCCGACTGACGACAACCGGTCAAGATTACCGTTTGGGGGCCCCTGCTGTGACATGATTTTCGCGACGCATTTGTTGTCGACCGACGTTCGATCGGTTAACTTTTCGTTATCCTGCTGGTCATGTTGAAAGGAAGAAGTCCTTCGCTGCGGAGTTATTTATTAGAAAATGCCAACTGAATAGTCACAAACTTTTGGACAAGGAAGCAAAACTCTCATATGCATTTTGTTTACAAAAACTGAATATCCATCCTCTCTTTGAACGCGTCTTCCTGGACTTTGCTGGATATTCATTGACTGTTGCCCAAATCCAAGCAAATGCTACAAAGCGACTCCACAAATTCCGTAATAGATCTCACTTTTCAAGAGATGCAAAGCGGATTTACGAGAAAATATACTACTCGCATGCCTCCCCCATCAGTAGTATCGCCGTTACAATGGTAGCTTCGAATGCCTATTTGTCTGACGTGGTCTTTGAAAATGAAATACCTCTTCGTTCCCCGCTCTCCATGATCCAACGAGCATCTTTGTTAGAATGCGATTGCGTTTACTCATCACCATCATCATTATCAGCTGTAAGAACCGCGTACTAGTCGTACAGTGGTTATAGCTGCCTATCGAGATAAAGTGCGACAAACGTGTCCAACTGCGCTATGCCATTGGTTTAGCAGTTGGCGTTTAGATGTGCTCCTATTGGCTAATTTTCGTTTCGAGAGTGTTATCCGGCTAATGAACCACTGAAGATTGCTAGACACAATCACCTTTTAGTCTCCGTTCTTCTTCGTAGTGCTATGAACTGTGGAGTTCCGTTATTGGATTACCGGTACACCCAGTATTTATTGTGGTTAGATCGTGAATTTGCTGACCGAAAGGTCCGTACTTCGAACCTGACCTCTGCCTCTCGACTTCCCATGTCTATGCTTGGGCAACCTGGCAGTGTCCCAGCCCTCGTGCTTCCTTCGGGTGATGTGGCAGGCACCTTGTTGTTCTCAAGGCTGAAAAGTTCTTTGTAGAGAGAATGTGCTTTTGGTTTCATCGAGGTTAAGTAATCACTGAGTCCAGGGTCGAAAGTGGGAGGAAAATTTGCTTCGGGTTTGTTGTCTAACATCCCGGGAGTTCACGAGTAAACCGACCAATGACCTTGACAGACAGATGCCCGTGTGGACAAAATTGCACCACCCTCGTTCTTCTCATCTCTAATGTGCTAAGCCGGTGTAATCATCTACGACAGTGGATTCCAGCCACGTTGGACATATACACACAAACGTCCTGATCACTTGCATTCCTTAAAATCTGCAGCGCGCAGATTTTTCGGCATTGGCCGGTGTGTATGACACTGTTCTCCAAGTGCAACAAAGGTTATCCAGGGAGGCCTTCCAAGTCGAAGGTATCTGTTAAGTGCGGGATAACTATGATACCTCTTATAACACTATATAGTGTTTGGACGTAATACACTACTCATGATGTTGCTGAAAACTCTCCAACAGCCCACGACCGGTTTCGTCCTTCTTGGGGGGGGGAGCGCAGTTTCCCAGTTTTTATCAACCTTATGTTCTACTTGGAGAAGAGCACCATAAACGGGAGATTCAGCTGGGGTTCTGGTGGGTATCTCGTCAAAACCAAATTGGTATGCAAATGAGTATATAAGTCGAATCTCGTTAAGTTCTGGTTCTGGTTGAAATTAAGGTTGATGGAAACTTGGGGACTGCGACCATCTGATGAGCTGCTAGAAGGGCGGAATCGGTCATGGGCTGTCGAAGCGTTTTCAGTAACCAAATGAGTAGGGTATTACGTCAGTATCTTCAATATCGTACTGACTGAAACATGAGGCAGCCTGGTACAGCTCATTCAGTTGATTAAGAATATCATTAACGAGAGATTCAGCTGGGTTTATAGGTGAGTCCCTCGTCAAAACCGAATTTGTATGCAACTGACTGGAAAAACCGATCGATGTCAGCCATAATAAAGAGGTAGTTGTTATGGTAAGAGGTGTGTGTAGTCTGAGTGTCGTGCAAGGTCACACGGTTACATTAGAAGGGCAGTCTTTGCATTCGAAGTAAAATGTAGCAACTGCATGACGGTATACATGAGACAAACGGCCAGAGAGTTGCACGGCACAATCAGTGAGCGTGAGCGGTGCATAAACAAATCACCAAGAAACGTAGATGAATATCAGGCGGTAGTCAACGATTCGGCAATGGTAAGGCATGCCCTAGACACTGGGCACAGGATAGGTATGGAAAATGTGGAGACGGGTGGCCGAGGCGATGGAGATCGCCAACCATCCCAGTATGATTAGAATGGAGGGTGTAGAACTGGCAAGCATGTGGAGAGCGGTTTTAGATCAGCTGAGATGACACAAGGTAGAATGCGAGAGAGACCGGTTTTAGATCAGCCGAGATGACACAAGGTAGAATGTGAGAGAGACCAACAAAATCTGCGTGGATAACACTGAGGAGGAATATTGCATTTGGGTGTCCCAGACCGGAAAAGCAAAGCTTCAAAGTCCTGACTCAACTTGAGGACAATCCCTCCTTAAGCAACTGTCTTAACTAACACTAACTTAATGAACGAGAGCTTCTGACTGTGATACGGCCTTGATCAAATCGGCCTATCGTAAGAAATCTCCGGTTGCTTGGTTCTCTGACTCTCCACCAAAACTCGGCCAACCGGGTAACTTGGCTCGACAAATTTTTTGTGTCAAAAGTGAAACGTTATCCAGCAGTGAACCGATTGTTTGTTTACTAACCCTTTTGAAAAGAGGATGGAGTGTGTAATTAGGACAACGTAGTGTTTCACATCTCACGCCATTAAGCGCCGGTTCCTTTTCCATGTCGTGGTATTAGACTATTCGGACTGTATTCTTGGCGCCCACTCGGAAGAGATCACGTGGTCTGCACTGGCACAACGCTTGTCCACAGTTCTCAACAGCTACGACGCCAAAATCGAGCTATTGACTACTCTGAGACAAGAATGGAGAGGTATTAGACAAAATGTCGTATACACACTCGACCAATGTATTATGGGGAATTGATTCACAGAGGTTTCGAGGCGGAAAGTACCATTACAGTCTCTGTTGACCAGACAGCGTCAAGGGGTGTTTTTACGCTAGTCTGTCAAATATATATTCTTATAAATTCTGGATTTATCATTCACCGGAAGTACAGCTATTGTGTGTGTGTCTTAAAATTTTGTTGTGCGGTTTGTATGAAAGCTAAAGGACGACCGCCATGTTTTTTCCCCAGCGAATTCGGCCCTAGTGGGGAGTGGATCATGTTGCTGGAGGGTGGATAGTCTAATATCATCGAGGATAATGGCCCTTATTCACGGTCTTATTGAACGGGCGTATGCAGACAGAGAGAATATTCAGTTGAGTCTCTCGAGTCTTTCCAGATCGATTTGTAAATGAGTGTATTTCTCGAAAACAATCCAATTAGGGTTCAAGTAGAACATAAGGTTGACGGAAACTCGGGAACCGCGCCTACCTGATGAGCCCCTAGGAGGACGAAACTGGTCGTGGGCTGTCGAAGAGTTTTCAGCAGCCT